CCCAGGGGTCCCCCCCCCCCCCCCCCCCCTTGCTAGCCAGGAGGCTACTTCCCTAGCCCTAGTCTGCAGGAGAGGCACAGCTCACTATTGACATTGGGGAATGAAAGGACCATCTCTACAGAAGAGCAGCATAAGCCCAGCCTGCTCTATGCTGGGATTTCAGCCACTAGTGCAGAATCTGCATGTCAGTTTATACCAGTGCAACTAAGCCAGCCCCTGCTGCTGCTGACCGAGGGAGCACTGCTGCCCAGCACATCTGCCAATGCACGTACTGCAGCAGTCACGTGCATATCCAGCCCTCGCTAGGCTTGCATGATGTCCATAACAAGATGTCCTAGCAGGCTCAGGCTCCCAGGCAGGGCAGGGGAGCAGGCACGTATTCAAGCGGGGAGCTGCCATCAGCTCCCACCCTCCCTCCGGCTTACCGCTGAACAGCTCTGGTGCTGTGTTGTCAGTGCAGGTGGAGATGTGAAGCTGGAGCTCTCGCTTCGGGACTTTGTGGCGAGCATTGTAGGGGCAGGTGGCCAGCTCTTTGGCTATTTTCTTATTGTTCTAGAAGAGAAGCCATGAGATGCCACTTTGCAGAAAGCAGGGAGGTACCACTGTGGGTGGGAGGGAAGAGAAGGTATTGTTAGATGGAGAAGCAGAAGACTGGCGAGCCAACAAAGCGCTGACTTGCCGAGCGCTTAGTGCGCGTGCGTGTGCACGCTATTCAGTACATCCACACACTGCAGCTCAGAGCAAGCCTCCAGCTGGCGGGAGGGAGTGGAGACAGTTGTGTCTCAAGCAGTGTGCTAAGATAGCAGCATGGACATGACAGTGTGGACTGGAACTTGGGCTCTCCAGCCTCCACAACAGCCACATGGCTATTTAGCTGCACTAGCTCCAGCCCCACTAGAGGAGTGTTTATGTGCAGGGAGCCTGGTGCATCTGCAGCAGCACTGAATATCTTGGGCCCGATTCTTGGTTGCTCCATCCCAGTCCTTGGAGGGAGAAGCAGGGAGCAGAACAGACTGGAGACACACCCCCTAGCTTAGCTCTCCCTTGATTTGGGCTGAGCAGCTGCTGCCCTTGCTGCTGCACATTAAGAGTAACCTTTGGGCTGCTCTAACAGAGCTTTACTTCCCACGGCCCCTGGGCAGCAGAGCATAGCTATTACAGATACTCTAGCTAGGCTGCAGCCTGTCCCCTCCATTAGGGACTTGGAGCTTGCACCCAACCCAGGGAGGCACCTTTGTAGGCTGTTGTCCCAGAAGACGGATTTCCACACACTTGAGACCCTCTGACTGCACAAAGGGGCCTGAAAAGACTTCAGTGTAACCTCACTGAGGCACCAGTGCCCCCCTCAGGGACACAGGGCAGGTCTGGATCCAAGCTGCCCTGAAGTTCAGGTGCTTAGGTCTCTCCAAGGGTTAACTCCTGCTGAGTTAGGTCTTCATGCCAGCAGCACTTGGGCTGGCCTGGCCAGGATGAACAGCTGAGCCCAGAGCCCTGCCCAAGTTATTAGAGCTGCACTCACCTGCAGGGCTCTCGGACTTTGGAGTGGGCACAGAGTTACTGACTCACTCAGTTGAGCTGCTCTAGGATTTTCCTAGGGAACGTGGAGTGGGCACAGAGTTACTGACTCACTCAGCTGAGCTGCTCTAGGATTTTTTCCTAGGGAACTATGGGAAGGCAATGGAGGACTATCAGGTTAAGTCATGGTCTCCAGTGCAGTGGGCAGGTTAACACCACAATCTTAAGAAGCACCCCAGACTCCAGTGAGGGCTGGCTAATCCAGGTGAAGTGCAACCACAGTGGGCCAGAGCATTTGCTTATGGACATTATAGGGTAGGGGCAGACCCGAGTGACCTGGGAAGTGGAGATAAATTTCACAGAAATGTAGATGTGAAAGAGACCTCAAGTCATGGGTTCCCTGTTCTGCACAGAGGCAGGGCTAAGTGCTATCTAGCCCATCCCAGGTTTTTGTCTAGCCTGTTTAAGTGTCTCCCTTAGATCTCGCCTCAAAAGAAGCCCATTATTTCTTGTCCTGTGGATACAGAGGACAATTTAATCACCCTGCTCTTTACAAGATCTTTTTACCTGCTTGAAGGACCAGGCCTGCCCTCCCTCAGTCTTCTCTTGCTAAACCCAATTATTCCCAATCTTTCCTTGTGGGTCATGTTTTAGACTTTTAAATCACTTCTGTGGTCGTCCTCTGAACTGCCTCCAATTTATCTACATCTTTCGTGGAGAGAGACTCAAGATGACAATACTCCAGCTCAGGCCTTAGTGAGTTTAGGGAGGAATTCGGGTCTTGCTGACAATAGTCCTGTTCTTACATCCCAGAATAACAGGCAGTGTTTGGCAATAGTATACATTGCTGAGCCCTTTGAGTCTGATCCACCATGAGCCCCAGATCCCTTCCTGCAGTCGTTTCCCATTTTGGGTTTGCACTGGGAGGAATGTGTGTCTTGTTGTGCAAAGAGCTTGCAGGGGGACATGCAGCTCTCTTCTCTCGGGGCACCTCAGCCTGCCCTCGGAGCACATTGAGCTTGTCATCCCCTCTCAACAATCAAGCTAGTGAACACTCCAAAGTGTGGCAAACAGAAGCTAAATAAATGTGTCATCCCCTCTCAACAATCAAGCTAGTGGACACCCCAAAGTGTGGCACACAGAAGCTAAATAAATGACACATTTTGTCCCCATAACACAAGAACTAGGGGTCACCAAACAACATTAATAGGCAATAGGTTTAAAATATGTGCAGAAGCATTTCTGACAACAGAAGACCTATGGAACTTCTTGCCCAGCAGATGCTTTGAAGACCAGGAATGTAACAGGTTTTACCACCACACCACAGCTAGATACATTCATGGAGGTTAGGGGCACCAATGCTTCTTAGCCAGAATGGGCAGGGATGGGGGCCCTAGCCTCTTTGGCAGAAGCTGGGAGTGGGCAACAGGGGATGTGTCACTTCATGAATGCCTCTTCTGTTCATTCCCTCTGGGGCACTGGCATTGGCCACTGTTGGAGGACAGGATACTGGGCTAGATGGACCTTTGGCCTGACCTGGTCTGGCTGGTCTTGTGTCATGAAATAAAAGCTTCACTAGTTAGCTTACTCTTACCTCTCTGCATTTGACCAGGTGGTAGGGGAACCGGCTGGCTCGGATCTGGTGGTTTTTGTCATAGGGGCACAGCATGAGCCGCTCAGGATCCATCACACCTGCACATCAAAAAAAAAAAGCACAGAATACAGTTAGTGAGACCAGAGGAGGGGCAGGCTGCCCAGAGTATCACATACCAGGGGTGATGCCTTCAGCAGCTAGAACCCCCATATCAGAGGCCCAGTTCCACCTTCTTCACAGCTGATCCAGCAGAGAGCCAAGGGGAACCCCAGCACTGCAGGGGAGAACTGGGTCTTCATGATAGATTTTGATGCCAATGGATCAGGGCCTTGATTAGGGCTGGCCAAGATGCAGCCCGGGGAGGGTGGCGCAGATGCAGCCTTCCTAACACTTGGATTCGGCTGGATTCCATTTATATCCTGGCCGGGCCACCGAATGTCCAGGCAGTGGCTTAGGCAGCAGGACTGTATTTAAATGGCTCATGGCTGCTGGTCACAGCACTACCCTGCCAGGGGCCTGCAGCAACTCCACCTGGCTGCCAGGCAATGCAAGAGCACAGGGCTGGGAGCTGCCAGCCTCCAGCCCCAGACAACTGTAGAAGGAGGCTAGCCCCCAGGCCTGCCCCCAGGCCTGCCCCTTCTGGGTGGGTGAAGCCAACCCATGACCACCTACCAAAATTCATTAAATGGCGCCCCCCTGCAAAAGTTATTGCTCACCCCCTGGCCTTGAGGGTAACCTCAGTGAGATCACACCTCCATGCAGCTGCCTCCACGCCTTCAGACCAGGAGATAGTACTCTTCAAAAGGGGAGGGTCAGACTAAGGATTTCGGATTTTATCTGCAGCCACAGAGTGAGTTGTTAACGTGGGGCTCTCTTGGCCTATGTACACTGCCCTGATGGAACGGGGCCGGATTGGAGTCCTCTCGCCAACTCCCTTTACCCAGATGCCTGCCAGACTCTCCCGTGTGTCAGTCCCCACAACCCCTGCAAGGCTGGGCCTAGGATCCCTGGGAGGCTTTGTCTGAGTATCAGTCAGATAGGCCAGGGTGGCTCCCCCGCTGCGGGGCTGTCCCCACACCAGCCGCTTCCTAGCCAGCAAGCGGCACATTAACGCCAAACCAAACAGTTTTGTGCTGTGCAATGAATCGTAGGAGATGGAACATGGGAAAGGCAAAGGCACTAGCTCCTCCCTTGTGGCATGGGGACCCCACAGGCAGCTGTCCTGAGGGAAGTTCACAGCCTGTTCTATGCCTGTCCCAAGCCTCCAGCTCAGGCCCTGGCAGTGGTGACACTGGAGGTGGGACACTTGCCCTGCCGCCTCAGGCGGCAAGACTCCCCTCTTCCCCAGTCCAAGGCCTTGTGTCCGTGGTGTCTCCTTGCCCTGGACCCTCTGCCCAGGGCCCCCTTGCCCTCTCCACAGCTGGTTCTGGTGTTACTGATGGCACAACCAACATCTGTCCTCAGCCCTGGGCCTGCAGCTCCACCCCAGCTCTGGCTGCCCTCCACCCTCCCTGCTTTTGCTCAGCCCTGTGCTGGCCTAGCCAGCTCCTATGGGGACACGACCCCATGTTGCTTGACTCCAGTGCCTGCCCCCCCTGGAGCATTGGCCTCTCCCAGATCCGTCCTGGGCACTGTCAGTCAAGATCTTGAGCTCTCATTTGCCCTTCCCCTTGGATACCAGGAGAGGGCAGACCAAGGAACCCCAGTGAGCCGGGCCAGCTCCCACCCTAGTTCTTTGCAGGTCCAGCACAGCGGTGGGCAAGGATTTGGTAAGCAATCAAGGGCTTTTCTATGGAAGGGTGCAGGGTCTGGGAGGGAGGTTGGGTGCAGATGAGAGCTCAGGGTTGGGGGCTGGGATGCAGGAGAAGGTGTGGGGCCCCGAGGGGGGAGTTTGGGGGAAGGGATTGGGGCACAGGGTGTGTAGGACGGGGGATGCAGGGTCTGGCCAGAAGGTGTTTACCTAAGCAGCTCCTGGTCAGCAGCATTCTCAGGCAGACTTCCCTGTTTGCTAGCAGCCCCAGACCACTCAAGCCAGCTGGCTGTTCCATGTGGCTCTGAGCTTGTGGCAGAAGAGGCTTTGTGCAATCCCAGCAAAATCTCTCCGCTCCCATTGGCAGGTTTCCAGTCTATTGGAGCAGAGAGATGTTGCTGGGGGCAAGGGCAGCACACAGCCCTCCCTCCCCTCAGCACAGAGAGCCACAGGGAGCAGCTGGCCACGTTGATCAGCCCTGTTCTGTGCTGCAGGGATAGCCGGAGGCCAGGTTAAAAGGATTGGTGGGCCGGATCCAGCCCACCCTTGGTCCAGCAGCATCCTCCCAGTGTCACATCACTATTAGCTGGGGCATCAGCTAGGCACCAGGCTCCACAGATTGCAGTAGAGTTACCGGTGTAGGTAGCACTGCCTTCCTGCCCTGGGGCTGGCAGAGAACAGTCTCAGACACACAGGCAGGCACGGGAGCATGGGTTGCATTAAGAGACATTAACACTTCCAACAGCTGTCTGCATCCCCAGTTGAATAATAGAATACTAGGACTGGAAGGGATGAGAGGTCATCGAGTCCAGTCCCCTGCCAGCACGGCAGGACCAAATACTGTCTAGACCATCCCTGATAGACATTTATCTAACCTACTCTTAAATATCTCCAGAGATGGGGATTCCACAACCTCCCTGGGCAATTTATTCCAGTGTTTAACCACCCTGACAGTCTGCAACTTTTTCCTAATTGTCCAACCTAAACCTCCCTTGCTGCAGCGTAAGCCCATTGCTTCTTGTTCTATCCTCAGAGGCCAAGATGAACAAGTTTTCTCCTTCCTCCTTATGACACCCTTTTAGATACCTGAAAACGGCTACCATGTCCCCCCTCAATCTTCTCTTTTCTAAACTAAACAAACCCAATTTTTTGAAATGCAAGGGCTTGTCTACACTACAGGGGCCAGCAGCATAGTTATGCTCAGGGCTCAACAATCTATGTAACCTACTCGCTCGGTGAGTAGATTACATCCCAGAAGAGTCTGGTTTGGGCAATCTGTGCATGCGCAGAACGCCGCACAGCGCGGCTGGTGAGCGGGGCTTGCTGCGGCTCCGCGAGCCCTGGTTATGCTGGTCTGACTTCATAGCTCAGACACAGAGAGATGCCCCCGCCCCCTCCTCCTGCTCCTTAGCTGCAGCCACTTCATTGTGAAGGAGACCAGGCCTGTCTCCAGTCTGCTTGCAAGTGGAGTGTGTTTACAGAGTGCTAAGTGCCGCTTTAGGCTGGGCACGGACTCCTGAGTGTTTGGGTGGGGCTCAGCCCTGATGCACGTGCAAAGCAGCAGGAGAGATTCTGCTCCAATCCAGCTGTATTGCTGGGCTGCCCTAGGACTAACTGGCAGTTAAGGCATTGGCTGGCACCACGATGGTCATCTCATCCCCTTCCCCCCACCTGTGTTAGATAACCAGAGTGCTCTGCAGGTTCTGCACATGGGGATAGAGAGGCACAGAGAGCAGAAGGGAACTTGTGCAAGGTCATCAGGCCAATGGCAGAGCTGGGAATGGAGGGAAATCA